CTGAATCCACAAAACCCTATGAAGCTGTACTCTATGAGTATGTCATTAGCCTAATTCATTCTAAAGGGGATGTAATCAGCTTCTGTCATTACAGAGTAACCAGCCATTCTATTTTCTGTTTGGTCTGCCTGTCTTTATTTGAGATCTATAGACTCCCAACTTTCCTTTCTAGTGTTTTTCATGATCAGTATTGATTGCAAGTTGTCCCGGTATTAAAGCAGTGTGGTCTGTGGCCAAAACAAATAAGCAAACAAACAAACAAAAAACAACTGGCTCATCTTGTATATAAATCCTGCCTGTCTTATATAAATCCTTTAGGTTTAATGGCAGCTGCTGGAGTTTAAGCACAACTCTTATCAAACCTACCAACTACTTGCTTATATAAAAATCCAGTATATTATTGCCTCTGTTTTAGATAATGATGTTGTTTTCCAAAGACATTTTAAAGATGTTAATCCAAATATATTTCAAAAGCTCTAAGTCTAAATCAAAGATTTCATTTTTATAGGAGAACTGTGGGATGATGCTCCTCGTAGAACATTTATAAGGCAAGTCTAAGGTAGGTACATGTTTGTTGAAATTAATAATTTAGAAACAGACTTAAGAATCCCTAGCAGTTATTTTTATCCAGGATCATTCAGTTATGAGAAGATCTACTTATCTTCTAATTGGAAGATGAATCTGCAAGTGTTATGATAAAAGGATATTTTCAGTCAATCCATTGGTAATAAAGATGCCTAATTAAATAAACTGTTCTCCCTCCCCTTCCATTTCGTTTGCTGTGATTAGACACACTTGACAATTATTGACGGTGCTTGTCCATTATTTCTTTCCACAGAAAGTGCTGGCTATGTCTTCAAAGGAGTTTTATCCAATTTTATTTTTGTCACTGAAGGAGGTTGTATGGTAAGATTCTACTGTCAAATTGAATGTAATTGTATTTTCTAATACACATTAAGAGTGGGATAATTTTTTAAATAAAGCCCAGGAGAGAAAATGTTACCATAAATTTATTAACCACTAGGTCTAATTTCTTCTGACTGTATTTTTGTACCTATTATTCAGTCTCTCTTGATCTCCCCCTTCCCTCTACCCTTCCTAGCCTCTGGTAACCACTAGTGCTTGGATTTTGGATTTAGGTGGTGAGCCTATGCTTCATTTTTTTTTAAATAATGGCCATGAACTTACTTATAAAGTAAATATATATATTATTTTCAATCTTATCTATTTTGCCTTCATATAAAGTCAAATTAAACATGAGTTTTCTGCATCTGTATAAATATTAAAACTAGAACTAGAATTCTATTCTAATTCTAGAGCTTGAATGTATTCAGTAACCAAATAAATTCTGTCTGCTGGAACATTGGTTGTGACCTATGTATCCATCCCAATATAGTGCTTGTGTTAGTGTGAAAAATCAGAATTTTTATGACCCTTAGTCACCAGGGAGAAAGGTAGGCCTAGCACTGTATGTCTTAAAGAGTCAATGAGGACAGGCAGGGTGGGAGCCATGAAGCACTTGAAGAAACAGGAGATGAGCATGTGCTGGACAGCACTCTCTGTACTTGGGGTTGCTCTGGGAACTCACTGTGGTTACCGACCAGAAGTGCAACAATTCCACAGCCCTTACTCATCAACGAAGGTCAAGTCAAGAAATCTATTTCAGAAAATACAAACTGAATGAAAACATAAGGACACGTGTCTCAGAAAAGATGCTTCCAAATGTTCAGATGAGGAATATCAGAAAGAAAATTCAACGCATATGACAACTAGAGCAAGTTGGGAAGTCATCTGTCACTATTTCCCACAGTTTCAACTTACTGATACAAATGAGAAGATTTTAAACTATGAATTAAGTCATTTTGCTTTTCTTGCTCTTTGACTTTGTCCTTTGTAACCTGTATTTCTCATTCAATTTGGACGAAATAACTAGGATCCAAAGGAAGTTTGGCAGTTCTGTAACTGCCACTTAGAATTACAACCCCTCATTATTTCCAAATGTCTTTGTATATGGTTTTCATATTATACTCTAATGATTCAACTTCAAGCTAATGTTAATAGTTTAAAAATAAAATATATATCCTCCTGCTGTAATCATTAGGACTATTTACATTTAAATGGGAGGGGTGTCTTTGTCTGCTTGAGCTGCACAAGTAATTGCATTGATTATTTGCTTTATGTCTGGTTATTCAGACCTGCCTGAAGTTATTTTGCATTTGCTCCAGTGCTCCATAAGTAAATGCCTGCTAAAAAAAAATAGTAATGTAGTAGAGGGGAGCAAAAGAAAAATGCTACATATTTTATGACATTCAATAGGTAATTCTCTCCATGAATGGAAAATGAATAAACACGATATCTCTACTTGATAACATAAAAATGTAAGGGCCATAGGCCAGGTGCAGTGGCTCATGCCTGTAATCCTGGAACATTGGGAGGCTGAGGCAGACAGATCACTTGAGGTCAGGAGTTTAAGACTAGCCTGGCCAACATGGTAAAACCATCTTCTCTACTAAAAATACAAAAATTAGCTGGGCATAGTGGTACACACTGTAATTACAGCTGCTTGGGAGGCTGAGGTGGGAGAATCGCTTGAACCTGGAATGCAAAGGCTGCAGTGAGCCAAAATGGCACCACTGCACTACAGCCTGGACAAGAGTGAGACTGTCTTAAAAAAGAAAAAAAAAAAGATAACGATCATCGCCATGTCTGTTTGCAGCCCTTATGGATTTAACACATACCCTGTTGAGTGAATCCTTCAAAAGGAATCTTTCTGAAGTCACCTATAGGTGTGAAATGAATGCAAATCTCCCACAGAACACACTGCATCTAGAAGGAGTTTTGTAGTTTTTGCTCTTACATTTAGGTGGATGATCCATTTTGAGTTAATTATTGAATATGATGTGAGGTAGTGATCCAACTTCATTCTTTTCCATGTGGATAACCTGTAGTCCCAGCATAATTTGTTAAAAAGAATATTCTTTCCCCATTGAATTGTCTTGGAAACTTTATCACAAATTAATTTACAACAAATGTGAGAGAGTTTATTTCTGGACTCTCAGTTTTATCCATTAGTCTAAATGTCTATTCTTATGTCAATACCATGCTGTCCAGATTTTTATTGTTTATATTTTTATATTGGGAAATATGAGTCCTTCAACTTTGTTCTTTTTCAAGATTGTTTGCTTATTCAAAGTCCTTTGCAATTCAATATGAATTTCAGGATCACCTTGCCCATTTAAAAATACCAGCTGGAATTTTGACAAGGCTTGCATTTAACATGTAGACCAATTTAGAGAGTATTTTCATCTTAACATTAAGTCTTCTTATCCATGAACATGGCGTGTTTTTACATTTAGTTAGATATTCTTTTTTAAAAAATAGGTATTCTTTTTTACACTTCTTTTGTTGAATTTGTTTCTAATAATTTTATTCCTTTTGATGTTATTATAAATGGAATTTATTTCTTAATTTCATTTTAGATCATTGATTACAAATGTCTAGAAGTACAATTAATTTTTATATGTTTTTGAGCTTGCATCCAGTAACCATGCTAAACTCTTTTTATTAGTTCTAGTAGATTTTTGGTGAATACCTTAAGTTTATTTTTTTGTATACAAAATCCTGATATTTGCAAATAGAGATAGCTTTACTTCTTTCCTTTTAATTTGGATACCTTTGATTTTATTCTCTTGCCTAATTGCACAGCTAAAAATTCCAGTACAATGCAGAATAGAAGTAATAAGTGTGGATATCCTTGTCTAGTTGCTCATCTTAGGGAGAAAGCCTCTACTCTTTCACCATTAGGTCTAATGTTAACATTTAAAAAAAAATAGATACTCTATGAAATTGAGGAAGTTTCCCTCTATTCCTTGTTTGCTAAGTGCTTTTATCATGAAGAGATCTCAGGTTTTGTCAAATAATTTTTATGTATCAAGTAATATAATCGTATTTTTCTTGTTTTTATTTCTATTGACAAAGTGTATTGCATTAATTAATTTTGATGTTAAACCTTCCCTGTATTCCTAGGATGAATCCTACTTGGTATATGATTATTTTCATATGTTGCTGTTCTGAATTCACTAGTATTTTGTTAAAGATTTTATGTGTGCATTCAAAACAGATATTTGTCTGTAGTTTTCTTTGAATGCCTTTGGTTTTGATATCAGCTATCACTGATATCAAAGGTACAAAATAAACTTTCACAGGAAGATGGGAGTTAAGGGTTCCCTTAGATAATAAAACAAAGAGATGTGACAGGCATAGTAATAAAAGAGTGCTGTGTAACTGTTAATATTGTAGCTCCCTCTTTGAATCCACTAGAGTAAATGGGCTAGTTCCAAATCATCACGCATTACTTAGGACATTTCCATTCTCCTTTCCACCAGGATGCCTGTAGGAAGCTGCAATTTGGAAAAACAGCTTTATAATATGTGGCAGTGATTAACGCCAGCCAATTCTAAAAATAAACATTCCCTGGGCATATGAAAAGCAATGTTTATCTCCTGAAAGTATTTCAGCATAGAAAGTCATATGTTTTCTTACTGTCTTTGTTTTTCACACTTCCCCTTCTTCCCTCTTCATTCCCTCCACCCTCCCCTCCTTCCTCCTCCCTTCCTTCCTCCCTCTCTCCCTCCCTCTCTACTCCCCTCTCTCCTTTCCTCCCTCCTTCTCCTTCCTTCCTTCCTTCCTACAGTAGCAGCTGTATAATCCCACAATTAGATAATAATCAGATCATTTTTATTTTGGCTTATAATATTTTCATTCCCTTTATGAAACATGTAATTAGCTGAAATATACTTCTTACAATTTCTCTTATGATTTTTAAATGGAGTTATTCTTACTAAAGGGCATTCCTAATGATATTACTTGGTAACATCGTAATTGTCATGGACATGAATAATAAATCGGAATAATGCTTTGGATAGGTAGAGCTAAGTCTCTTAGAGCAGCTGTACGATGAGAAGCAATGTTCTTATGATTCTCTCTGCCTTACCGTTTAGATAAATAAATGCTTTCTCAGAGATGCTGCAGGCATGAGCTTTTCTAATGAGACGTTTATGAAGAATCAATGAGATCTCTACTAACTTCCAGAGACAAGAATCTCTGAAAGTATAATTATGAAGAAACTGATCCTTGGAGACTGAATAAAAATCAATATGAACAGCAAAAAGGTGTTTTTTTCAGTTTCCTATCTTGGCTGATATTAGCAAGTACTAAATCATTAAACATTTGGAATGAATTGAAAGCCGCTGTTTGTTCCTCTATTTATCATCCATCACTATCATCCTCACCGGCATTATATCAGCTTAACCCAAGTATCAAAAATCTTAATGTTTACGTGCTTTCTGTGCACATTCTGGATTTCTGAAGCCAGCAAAACCGTAAAACATAAGTAACATTTGAGAACAATTTTGAAATTAAACCAATGTTGAAATTGTAGTCCCAATTTCCTGCTTTTAGTCCAAATACTGAGCCCCAGAAGAATATAATAATACCAGTTAGCTATGCCACCCATTCGAATTTAAAACAAAGTTGATAAAGAAGACTAGAAAGTTTGTGTAAACATTCCTGCATTGTCTTTTTTGTTACGTTTGTTTTAAGTTTGAAACCAAACACATTTAGTGACAGGAATTTAAGCAGGGACCTGAAGTGGAGTCAACTGATTCTCACGGTAGTAAATACAAAGTAGAACAATGATCTTAGCTTCAGCTGTCTGGCTCAGTGGTCCACTGGAATGACATACACAGTTAAGTCACAGTGCAGATTATTTTCTAGCTGTGGCTATAGGCTGTCGCTTCTAGCACAGTAGAACTGTGTTAGGAGAAATGGGAAATGCGAGCACTACTTCTCACCATGTTCTGCCTCTGGCTGCCAGTTTCTCTCTGCTCCCATGTTGGATGATCAGCAAAGATCACCCACCCATCAGCCCAGGACAGACCAGTAGGAAGGGTCCAATCACTCTGGTCTCCAACTACAGCCAGACTTACCTCCACAACAGTCTCTATGGCTCTAGCCTGGACTCTTTCACAAGAATCCAGCCCTCTGGAAGTGGCAGGTGGAGAGGGTAGTGGGACCTCCTGCTAAATAGAGGAAGGTGGGTAAATGAATGAGTGAGCTGTTGAGTTCACTTGCAAAGGGACCAGGAGTGATAAAACATTGAGTGTTGTCTACAATTAGCAGGTGGCACATAAAGTAACATAGGTCTGAGCCCAGTAGAAGTTGATTTTAATTGTCAGGAATTAATTTAAAGGCTTTTAACGACAGCATTTTTCTCATGTATTTTTGCCAGGAATAAACCTTCAGTGGTTAATTATTTGAATGCCTAAATATCTTTCTGAAATTTTAGGGGAAACATCTGACCCTTCATATTGCAAGTGTTCTCTAAGCTTAATTAGTGGAATTTAAGAGTTTCATGTAAAGATTCAATGTGAACATTTAATTAATTTTTAAAATCTGACTTTGTCCTTAGCAAAAAAACACTGTTTCAAAGTGAAAAATAGTTTCAACCACAGAGGCCTTCACTTGTCCTTGGTAAATTGGGTCTTTAAAAGGCAATTTTCATAATGAGTTGCTGCTCTTTGAATTAAACTATAATTTTTTTCTTCAATTAGATATTGTATTAATTACACCGTGTCAGCATTTTTAAATATCTCTGGGTAGCATTCATTTCTCTCTACATGAGTTGAATACAAGCCAGTTGTGTTGGAATTTGCTGAGTTGCTGACCTGCAGTAGTTCACCTGGAAGCCTGTCTGTGGGACCCTCTAACTCTGAGAGTTGGGGCCCCTTCACCTGCCCCTCTAGTTCCTCAGATTCTGGGACCTTCCTGGCCTTCACCTCTCTCCCAGTTTGAGTGATCTGGCCTTTGATATCTTCTCTTGTGATCAGTCCTTTGCTCTGATGCCTGAGCTTTGTCCTGTGTCCTATGACACATCCCCATCTAAGGAATCAGAGCCACTCCTGTGCCCTGCTGTTGGTGCCCACTCCCTCCTGCCTCATCTTCAGGCACAGACCTCTCTTCCCCCAGGTCCTCTGCCTCCTGCTTTCTGACTGGACCCATAGCCACAGTCTGTGTGGTTGGCTGAAGGATGTATAACTAGTGTTGGGACCGGGCTGCCTCTCAGCCACCCTTTCACTGCTTCCCAGTTAGGGAAAGCAGTGAATTCAGTAGAGTCTGTATTAGTCTGTTCTCACACTGCTAATGAAGATAAGCCTGAGACTGCGTAATTTATAAAGGAAAGAAGTTTAATTGAATCACAGTTTCATGTGACTGGGGAGGCCTTACAGTCATGGCAGAAGGTGAATGAGGAGCAAAGTCATGTCTTACATGGTGCAGGAAAGAAAGCTTGTGCAGGGAGGACTCCCATCTATAAAATCATCAGATCTCATGAGACTTACTCACTATCATGAGAACAGTTCAGGAAAGCCCCATCTCCATGATTCAATTACCACTCATCAAGTCCCTCCCGCAATACGTCCGAATTAAGGAAGCTACAATTTAAGATGCAATTTGGCCGTGGACACAGCCAGACCATCTCAGACTCATAATTTGCCTTCTGCCCAGTAAGAACTGGGTTGGAATGCCTTACAGATCACAAACAGATCTGCACCCATGAAAAGATTTGGGGAGTCACACTGGAACGTCAACAGAAGCCAGAGAGGTGAGGGCCCGGGACTTCACATCGCCAGTGTGGGTCCTTCGGCTGATCATCTCAGCCATGGGTCACAACTTAAACCTGCTGTTTCTCCGATAAATGCTTAAGAACATGTGTCGTGCCTGACCCTCAGGTGCCAGCTAAGGCTTTCTTGCTTCCCAGATATTTGGCTCCTTATTTATTTTACACCTCGGATGTTCACAGCCCTCCCCATTATTTCTCTTACCAACCCCTGGGGTTAGACTCACCAAGTCCTGTCTATGTCGAGGAAGGATGTGCTTCTCTCACTGTTGAACAAATGCAGTCTCAGTTCCTTCACTTGTTCCTGTATTCAAACAAACAAAAACAAAGTTATGTCAAGCATCACATGAATTTGGAAGCTACTATTGAAGGTTCAGTACTGGCAGGGAAGGGTTTGGAGAACAGCCAGCAGCTTCCTGCCATCTCTCTGGCTTCTGTCACTCTCACTCTTTTCTTCACTCTTTCTGTTCTCTTTACCAAGAAGGCACCAAAACTACTCCCTTGTCTTATGCAGAGGGTGCTGTCTTGTCTGACCCCTGATCCAATGTTCAAATCCTGATTGTAGCGGCACCATTTCAAATTCAGCTCCAGGCTTTGCCCGAGAAAGTCAGCACACTTCCTGAGTTCTGCTGCAAATCACAGTGCGTCTTCTTCATCCTCTCACCTGTTACCAACACACTCCTGTTTTAACATATGAGCATCGCAATGTAGCTGCCTACCTTGTTACTGTGTATGTGTGTATCTGCAGGTGTCTGTGCATGTACAAAACATGGCCCGTGTGATAGGCCCAGCTATGTTAAAATGTAATCTAGCAAGGGCCAATACCCTTATCTTATTTGTATTTATTCGTGTCATTTGAGCTCAACAAAAGTTATCTATTTTATTAATAAATATTAAATACTTAAATCATATGGTATTAAACATATGTACTGAATATAGAGTAATAAAATGAAAACACTATGTCACCCACCACCCAGCTTTACCCTAAAACCTCATCAGCACCTTTGATGTCTACTCTGAACACTCTTCCAACCTATTGTCCTCTGCTTTGGGTAATGATTATTACTCCCCTTTCTTTCATGATTTTGCCACATAAAGATGTGGTTGCAGTGTCACTTAGCATTGTATAGTTCAACTTCAAGGCCAGTGGAAAAATATGCATTCTTCTGTGACTTGCTATTTTTCATTTATATTTTGTCATGCAGGTAACTAAGATTTCCTAGTCTTCATCACTATTCGATGTCCCTTTGTAATCCTGAATTGAATAAGATTCCATTAATTGGCATACGCAGTTTCCAGGTTTCGCTAGCACCAGCGCTGCTGCTGTGGCTATTTCTGTCCAAGTCTCCTGGTGCAGGGTTTTTCTAAGTCAGGGTTTCCCAATCATGGCAACCACAAGAAATAATATTGTTGGTACGGTTCACTGGGAAACAAATAAAGCTGTTTGTGATGGCTGCAGGAGTAGAAGGCTTCTCCAAGGTGGAAGGAATCAGTATCTTGATGTACCTGTAACACTTTCAGGACTTAAGGGCCGAGCAGGTGAGCACCAGGTGTGGAACGGCTGGTTCATCAGGGTTATGAGTCTTCAACTCTGCTACAGCTTTCTAAACTATGTCTGAACTCTTTTTTCAGACCTCAGTAGTTCAACTGCATTTGAACCAATCATTTATATTATGAAAGCACATATATGCAGAACACTTCTGCATATTCCAAATATAACATTTGTGGTTGCCTACCACAACTTTATATGGTTTTTATCAAATGCTGAAGAATCAAACCACGTAGGAACTTTGAGCATTTCTGTCTCTGTAAAGAGGAGGGCCAGGACAGATGTGATGAATCACTGACTCCAATGCAATGCACTGCCCTTTTATGTGACACTGAACCCTACACTTGCACCAGCCATGGTCTCTAATCCTTTGTATGGCCTGAATCCTGCATGTCCACAAGCCATAGTTCCTAAACTTTGGTCAGGCCAAGCACTCTCCTTCACATGCCTTCATTTTCTTCTCAGCTTGGCAAATAATTTCTCATTCTTCAGGGAAAAGTTGAAAAGTATAGGCTTATAAAAAAGAATGAGATCATGTTTTAGTGAGAACATGGATGGAGCTGGAGGCTATTAACCTCAGCAAACCAACACAGCAGCAGAAGACCAAGTACCACATGTTTTCACTTCAAAGTGGGAGCTAAATGATAAGAACTTATAAACACAAAGAAGGGAAAAACAACACTGGGGTCTACTTGAGACTAGAGGATGAGAGGAGGGAATGGAGCAGAAGAGATAGCTGTTGGGTATTGGAATTAATTCCTAGGTGATAGAAAAAACAAAACAAAACAAAACAAAAAACCCCAGAAACATGAGTTTGAAAACAAACCCCAGTAACATGAGTTTACCTATGTGGCAGACCTTCACATATACCCTTGAGCCTAAAGTGAAAGCTAAATAAAAATGTAGGCTTTCCTCTCTCCATCATCTCTCCAGGGACAGGTTATGCCTTTTCAGATCTTGGAAGATCTACCTCTACCCTAC